CAACTCAATAACTCTGCATCCTTTACTCTTTGACAAATTTCTCCTTACAATTTCTGCATATATTTTACGAAATTTTTAAAAAAGAAAAAAAATTAAAAAAAAATGATAAAATTTGCGTTTTGTTCATTCAACTCAAAAATTATAGTCAATATAACACCTCAGCTACGCCGGAAGAGTTTCAAAGTTTTTACACACATCTTCTACACATCTTGTAGAAAACAAAAAGATTGAAATTCGAAAACTTTTGTTGAATCGGGTCGCCACGATAAAACATTAATCAAATTTCAAAACATTCAATGAAGAAGATAACAATAATATTTATTTTATATCTTTATAATTGTATCTCTATACATTTGTAGTTGATTTCTGTATATAAAAAAATATTAGTAAATTTAACCCTCATTCTGTAAGTTTTTCAAACTCATATTACCTACCGCAAACGTATCGTCTTTAAAACTATATACGATATATAATATGTACATACAATCACGCTTTAAACGACCCAAATGCGACCTACTGCTGCTTGTGCACTTTCATCCACTACAACCCTACAACTCCCATTTAACTTAAGAAATCCACATTAGCTCTTACGCTGCTAGGTTTTGATGCTGCGATAACCTAAACTAACATTCCCCACACCAGCAACACATATCCTTTAATCCCTTGTACCCCATCTAAAGAGCGCATATGTGATGGCAGCCGGAAAAAGGCCTTTCTACGCTCCGCATCTTAACCATAGGCTATGCTCATTTGTGCGATTCCATTGTGAGCCAATGCTAAATGGCCGCTGGGACTGTGTGTCGCTTGAATTACGTTGCCTTCGTCGTCACACGAACTCACTTACATATGTTCAGGTCACGCTGTTTGCCATATTGCCAGCGGTTTGCTTTGCGCTTCAATTATCAAGTGAGATATACATATATTGTGCTTATTTGCTGTCGGGTTGCCGCCGACAGCGGTAAAATGTTAATAAGTTTATAAGTCACTTGATAGCAGCGGCAAAGTACACTTTTGTGTCATTACTACTTTTCGCATTCTCAACTTACAAGTTGTACCCTGCGTATACGTAACTTAAATAAGTTACGCTTGTGTGCTTGATAAGGTGTTTAGCTGTTTTTGTTTTTCTTGCCATTTCAAAGCTGCTTTCTATGCTTAATAAAAGCGTTTTGCCAAATGGTTCCAGCAATACTCTAAGTCACCGTTAGTTTGCAATCTCTTGGGCTTTCAAGCCTTTTATAGTGTAGAAATGTCTTCATTTAAAGTAAACTTATATTAAGTCTACAGTTATTATGAAATCACTGTTACAAAACCAATTTTATCTTTAGTAGTTTTCATAAAAGAAATTACTTGTTCACTTCCTTAAAGTTTATTGTGCGCCACTTTCGGTTTGTACTTTTGACTCCCTACTCAACGTGGCCAATTTATTTATTCAATGTGCTTTTTCAAATTTCTACTCCCAGTTTTTTACACGCCCACTATTACTCAGCGGAAATTTATGCGTCTGCTACTGTCACTATCTCATACTTTGCGCTTTGCTATTCAACTTTTTGCTGCTCCTGCTGCTGCTGCTGCTGATCTTCAACTTACGAATTTATTTGCTGCTCTGCTTTTTTCCTTCAATCCAGCTATTTCTACTTGAAATACTTTGCAGATTGGATTTTTGCCAAAGTGAAGCGTGTAAGCTGGCACTGCGTGGCAGTTGACCGGGTTATTTGAATATTAACAGCTACCCATACCCCATAAACATATAAACATATAAACTTACTTGCGAAGAATTTTTTCATACAAATGAATACATATATAAGAATGTATATAAATGTGTGTGTCACAAATTCTCTTTATGTTTATAGTTACGGTTTGCATATCTGAAGCGCAGAAAAAATTAAGCAAAACAAGAAAAAACGTTAATACCCTTCACAGGTGCATTTAGTAACTATTTGTTCAGTTTGTATGGAAGCTATATGCTATAGTGAGCCGATCTGAACAATTTTTTCGGAGATTACATTGTTGACTTAGAAAATTATCTATACCAAATTTCGTGAATATATCTTGTTAAACGGGAAAGTTTTCCATACAAGAACTTGTTTCCGATCGTTCAGTTTATATGACAGCTATATGTTATAGTGGTCCGATATCGACAGTTCCGACAAATGAGTAGCTTCTTGAAGAGAAAATGGTGTTTGCAAAATTTCAAAATGATATCTTAAAAACTGAGGGACTAGTTCGTATATATACAGACAGAGGGACAGGTGGGCATAGCTAATCGAATCAGCTCAGCATACTGATCATTTATATATATACTTTGTAGGGTCTCCGACGCTTTCTTCTGGGTGTTACAAACTTTGTGACAAAATTAATATACCCTGTTCAGGGTATAAAAAGTGGTCATGCACTCGTAGGCGATAGTCTTCAAAAAAAGGCGCGACTTCAGCATAAATTTTAAATATAATTGAGTTACAAGATGCCAAGTGCTGGCGAATTGGCTGAAATGCTAATTTTTTGCTCAAGTGTTGCGGATTTGCATTAAATATTCCATTTGTTGGCTGCTTGGTGCTAAAYACCAAAATGTGTTAGTTGTAATTCGGAATTTATTATATTTTTTCTAGAAATTATTTAATGTTTTCAAAGTTTTAATTAATTTTATTTATTATATATTCGTATAATTCAATTGGTTTTTCTGTTACAGCAAAAGAGTACTCACTGAGTTAGCTTCCTCAGTTTATTTTTAAACTCATTTTCTACCAAACTGGATTTAAGGACTTTGTTGCAGTGATCACTGGTTATTTTATTTATTTCCTGTACACAATAGCCCATTAAGGAGAGACCATCTTTTTATACGATCTCAAATCGGGTTTTAGTGGCACAAAATGACAAAATGCTGGGTAAATTTTAACTTTTTTGGAACTTTTTTCAACTACAGGCAATTGAGCGAACACTATCTTAGAATTTCCTGTCATTTAGAGTTCAATGTTTATTAAATATTTTCGAATTCTAATTCGGAAGCAATATCACAAAATTTTGAAATTGTAACTACGAAAATCTTGAAGATTGGGTTTTTTTTAGATAAATTATCTACTATGGAACTTTTAAGAAGTAATTTCTCTTATATGTGGGCTGTGCACCACTTATAGCGTAGGATGGTTAGGCTGCCATCAAATCAGCAGTAAATATAACATGTACATATATCATAGATATATATACTATATATATATGTCGGCTGCGCTCTTTGATAAAGTTGCATTGAATAAAGCGAGGTGAAATTATCTTTCTCCTCCACTGGTCGGGTTTTGTAAAATTGAGATTAAAATATTTCGGCAGACGCAGCTTTGGAAAGCTCAGCTAAATGGATGGGGTTGATAATATCTGCTGTAACAAATTTGTTGTAAACTTTGGAGGTTATATACACTAGTTTTCTGGATTTTTCTGGTTTTGCAAAGACCGCATTTGTTTTTAAATAATTTAAAGCTAATACGTTTATATATACTTAAAGCAGTTAAATTTAATGTGGCTTTAAAAAATGTGCCCATTTGTTGGCACTATAGCTGTTATGCCGATACCCTTTTTTTCTTATACACTTTGCGGTGAGCATGATAAGTATGTGATGGTTCATCCGCAAGCAAACAAAAATAAAAACAAAAAAAACATCGTTTAACGAAAGATTTAACGAAATAAAGTGGTGATCATTTTACGGAACACAACGAAGTTTGTGGGTCTTCTAAAAATGTAGTTTTTTCATCCCAAAAAAAAAAAAAAACTCTTGTTTCAAATAAGAATTTTTCATTCAGATATGAGATATTGTAGTATTCAAGTAGAAAGAAAATAATTAGATCGATAGGCAACCTTGTTCACCACAACGGTACTTTTTTAAAGACGTCAAACAGCACTGTAATTTTGGTTCTGGTGCTCAGATCTCTATGAAATTTTATAGAAATAATACTAGAAGAATATACTTTAATAAAATGAAACGCCGCGACGATTTAACTCGCCGTTTAGGGTTAATGGACAAATGTTTGTCGAAGTGAGATTCGTAGATGTTAGATTAACCCTACGACCTAACGAAATTCCATTTGGCAAAGCTTAGTCACAAAAGTGAAAATAAAGTTCTGATGTTTTCTGAACTTATTCCAGTGTGCCTTTATGATGAATCAAAAATTTGCATATCCACAAGCCAAATAATAATAAATAAAAATTTTGTGGTTAAAACTTTATTAAAAACAGTTTAAAAAAATCTATAAGCAATATTTTTTTTTATAACATTTTGAAAATCATTCCAGTTTTCTCGAAAAAAAGAAATAATAAAATATTCGAAATCAACTGCTACTGCTAACTAAAACTACTAATAAATAAATAAAAATAATAANGCAAGCGCAACGTTCCAGAAACTATGTGAATGATTTATTTCAAAACATTTGAAGCCACTGAATAAATTAAGCACATAAGTAACGGTGGATTCCCAAGCGTAGCGGCAAATAATTGCCAAATTGCAGCAAAACACAAACCAGCAAATGGAAAAATTTTGTGCAAATTGCAGAACTGTGTCAACTGCGCCATGAAGTATGCAACGAGCAAACTAAAATCAGCACAAATACTCACGCGCAAACATGAAGAGATAAATGCAAACAGTTGACGAGAATTCCCAAAGGTCAGATAGAGTGAAATTGCGCGCGAAAAATTCGACTGATTATCAGCAATGCAAATGCAAGCTACGAGTGTGTATTGGTATGTGAGTAGGTGGGAGTAAATGAAAGTTGCGAAAAGGTTAGTGGAAATTAAAAGAGAAGAAAAACTATAAAATATTTAAAATAATAGAAAATTGTAAAAAAAAAATCAAAAATTAAAACTAAGAAACGCATTTAGAAAGATAAAACTGAAATTTAAATAAAAGAAAATATAAAAAAAATAAAAATATTTTACTATTATAATATTAAAAATATATTTTTTTGAAATACAAAAACACTAAAGTAAAAACTAAAAGCACCATAAGAAAACAAATATTGAAACTAAAACAACAATAAATCAAAGCAAAAATCAAACATTAAAACAGCATAAATAAACGCGAGGAGTATTTTCCTCAAAACTAAAATATTTTTTTCGTCCCTCAATAGCAAGCTAAACGCCAAAACGTGCAGCAAGTGAAGTGAAAGCCCCAAGTGCGCGACAATTCGGAATAAAACGCTTGCAAATTATGCACAATTGCTCGGAATTCAAATAACGGACAACCGCACCAAAAAAAAAAAAAAAAACAAAATTGCAAAATTTGCCGACTATAAAAACAAGAAAAGCCAGCAGAAAACAAAAAATCTAGTTCAGTGAGTTGTGAAAATGCTGTGGCAAGCGAAAACTAGTGACATTGTGCTGACTGCGATGACTACGCGCCGCTGCAATAGCACAAACAACAACATTGTCGGGCTGCCATAGACATTGCGAATTGTCGCCGCCGCGGAAAACAAAACTACGCACGCGTGCGTCTGTCGGTTTGCCTGCCACATTTCTGTGCATACGCAAATGACTGCGACAGCATAACGCGAACGTGAACCAGAACGCGCTTAGCATAAATAAAATATTCYCGATAATTTCGATGCATGAAATTTGAATGAGGCAAGCGAGCAAAAAACAAAAAAACTAGCACATACATACAAACTAACAAAAATATTTTGGTGCTTAAGTGAGTGTGTGTTTATGCCACTGGAGTAAAGTGGTTGTTGCTTGCAACATTTCTACATTTTCCTCAACTGAAACTGACAGTAGCGACAACATTTTAAAAAAGTGATAACGMAAAAATTACAACAACAGCTACAGCATGCACTAAATGCTCTTGCGTATGTGTATGTGTATGTAGTAGCTGAAARCAGCTGCCAGCGCCGCACGAGTGACTCACCGCCTGCCAAGCAGCGCACAAGTTACTGTKAGAGCGTATTAAAAATGTGCATGTGTGCATATATTTGCAGAAAAATGCATAGAGCGTYGAAATGTAGCAGCTGCTGCTGAAATATGGACAGCCGTAAACGTGTGTGAGCGGTCCSAAACAGTCGTTGTCATAAAAGCGGCATTCGAAACTTAAAAAAAAAAATTCCAAAAATAAATGCAAAAATTACTGACATTAAAATTTCATAGTGCACATAYAAAATGCTAAAAATGTCAAATAGTTGCAACAGTGTCAATGCCGTGMAAAATGTAAACAAGCAAATCGCTTTTCCCTCTCCAAGCAACATTGCAGCGTTACGCTTGACCTTTCCGCTGACCATGTCAACAAGCAACTACGGAGTGTAAACCAAAAAGTTGCAAGCAGAGCTAGACAAACAATACGGTAARCAAAAACGCTGAAAAGTTCTGCGCTGAGCCACGAGTGAAAGTGAAAGTSGAAGTGCAGGTTCAACAGAAGCTGCAAATAATTGAAAACCTTGAAAATAAATTAATTGAAATAAGCTGTGAGTGTCCGCTAACGCCCATTTAGTTGAAGCGAAACGCATTTGAGGAAGTAGCAGGAAAAAAAAATTTTAGTTACTACAAAAAAAGTTAAACATCAGCAGTCAACATGCTGCCGCAACGTTGTCTCTGTGGCAACAACTTGCTGCGCATCACAATGATGGTAGTGTTCGGCTTGGCAAACCTAAATAATGGTGAGTAGAAAATAATTTATTTTGCTGTACGTTGTACGAATTCGTGTTTTAGGGCTGATCTTTTAATATATAATGGATTTTMTGTATATTTCAGAAGTATTAGAGTTTGAAGGTCTTAAAAATTTGAGTGAACAGCCGAAAGCTTCATTCAAATTTTTKAATCTTATTTCCATTTTATTTATTACAAGTCTTCATAGAGATAAAAATTTCAATTAAATAGTTTTATTACATGAGTAATAACACGCTTTTAATCAAATTGTGTATTATTTCCTTGTATTGAATTGATTTAGCTTTCATTCAAAATTTCAAATGAAATTATCGGATCTCTAATCATATGAAGATATGGTGTAGGCAGAGTTAATAGAGTTATTGGTTTATTTTACTTTATTGTTGTCATTGTAGCGTCGAAAAATTTTCCTAAAACTTAATTTTGAGAAATRTTGTCGGGTTGGTTGTAGGTAGCCAGTTATATATCAGGTGCTCTTCCGGTTTCTAACTGGTTATATAACAGATTTTGTTGCATTGTAGCGCCGAAGTGTGTATTCCAAAAATTATTTTGAGAAATGCTGTCGGGTTGGTTGTTGGCAACCAGTTATATAACAAGTACTCTTACGGTTCTTAACCGGTTATATATCAGATAATGTTCCGGTTACGTCTACCCGATTTTCATTTCAGCCGTGCTTTGTGGCACTTATACTTTTAAAAGCGTAATTTTGAATTTAAAAAATTATATTTATTATAACAGAGACGTTAGATACATCAATCAACTAAATTTTATTCCAAAAAATTATAAAAAAAACTTATCAAATAATGATTGTCAAACTAAAAAATTTATTAAAAAGTGATGACTAAAATAAGAACGAAAACCGTCAAATCAAGCGATTTTTGGAAGATTTCTGCAATATTTTTGTTAGTAATGGTTTGCGTCTGAAAAAATCTATTTTTTACGAAGTAAGTCTTTTCGATGTGCTGAGCCGTTTCAGTAATCACACGAAAGTAAAATCACTACTTAATCCTGTTAAAATTTACACACTTCTATCATGAATTCAATATAAAACTAATTTTCATTAGTTTTTACAGAAAAGTGTTTCATATCCGCTGCCTTATCACCATACTACTCATACGCACTGTAGCACAATTATCTGAGGCACACAAATGAGSTTAACAAAACATAAAAAATTTGTTAAAAAAATAGAAAAAATTAATACTAATGCTATTTAAATAATCTGCATTTCATAAACGTCGAAAAAAATCCTTTTGGGTATCAAGAAATAYGCTTATCACACAGCTTAAGCCGATAAAGCGACTTAATCGATTCATAATAAATTGCTTACGTAAAGGTGATTAGCTGTTAYTAACAGAAAGCTATTGCTAATATTTGCATATAATAAGAGCTTAGTACTTACTTTTTTAACGCAAAAATAGCATTTACTTTACATCAGYCACGTTTACAAAGTTACCCATACGCACCGTCACACACAAGGAATATTAGGTTTGTTATTATTAAATCGTTAATACTGGATTGGGTTATTCTACAATAAACAAAATGTATAGAAATATGAATTTAAAAAGTAAGTTGCTTATATAATTAAGAAAAATTTAAAGTCTGATCTGATCGCACAAGTAACTTGATTAATTGCAATGGTGCTAGGCGTAGAGAATTATTAGAAATGATAAGAAGAAAAGAATGAAATTATATTCAATGGAGAACTRAGGAGCGTCGAGAGTCTGCCTAGGATGGTTTGGAGAATCAGTACGAAAAATATTTTATTTACGTACCCGTTAGGTATRCAGAATGAGAATTGAAGAGTTAAATTTCAAAATAAGATAAATAAAATGATAAATTTTACTTCAAACGTTTTTAAAGGTTATTACAAAGCAAGTTGTCGTATAATAATTAGCTAATATAAATTCAATAAGTCCAAGGGTGTTAATTTAACAGCTGTTTTGACGGCAACATCTCTTACAAAGTAGCTTATATTTTTCTCAACTTTATTTAACCCTATTTAAATTAAAACAAAATTACATTCAAATTATTTAAAAATTAGAAAAAAATAATTTGACTTGGTACCATTAAATGAATAGAACTTCTTTGTACTAAATAATCTGTAAATTGCTATATTTGGTAATTGAAATGCCACTGCATTCAAAACAATTGCAGCGGAAACCAATTTCTTGATTTTATTATTCATTCATTAGACTAAAACACGGACAACTACGCTGCATACTAAAAAATGTRGTGATTTTCAAGGCTGACCTAGTGTAGCGTCAGCATTTGTAACTCTAGCCATATAATCCAAACAACAACAATTTGCGAAGCAATGAGGAAATTCATTTACCAMAAATTTTCTCTTTCTTCTAGTTCTCGAACACTTAAATTAATTAAATGAAATGGCAGCATACAATTATAAGAACATTGACGCACATGAGTGAGTCCTTACACACACATATACAAGTATTTGTTAATTTTCTTTAAACTTGTTGTGCTGAAAGTTCGGCATTTCAGGGTCATCCACACAAGCTCATCCAATAAAGCGAAGCTTCACAAAGGAAGAAAACTGAATTTTGTGCGTAGCTACAAAATGAAAGTGAAATTCTTGCTTATTGTTAGAAATAAAAATGATTGAAAAATTTGTCGTTGCGGCGCCAACTATATCGATTTGCTTACCTTGAAGGTTAATGCTTTCAGGAAAACACATTTCCCAGACACAAAGCAACAACGGAAGCAACAAACACACACATATACGTAGTATAGAGATGAATAAATTGCTTCATGCGGGAGTGCACTGCGGGTGGGGTGTTGAGCGGCGTCTAAATTTTCATGTCACTTTGGGCGCTACTGTGTCAGCTGTCACAGCGCGCCAAACTATGCAGCTGCCAATAAAAGTCAAACTTTGTAAGAGCGTGATGGACGTGCAGAGCACATGCGTTGCTGGGGCATCAAGTTGAGAGAATGCGCAAAATACCAAACAACTTGTAATAAAGGGGAAATGTGCAAGAATTTGTTGCTGCAGCATACACATGGCAATGCTGATATGCGCAAAATTTGAATTGAAGAAATTGGAAAATTGAAAAACTTAGACTAAACTGAGCATAACTACTTTCACAATATAATTCTCCCTGCTCACCAGTTCGCTTTGTATTTTTTTGAGTTTGGAAATTTTGCAGTGACGTTGTTTTATTGTGTAACGCAACGAAATTGCTTAACGCTTGAAATGGTTTAAGGTTTATGTTTGAGTATCAGTATTGGATTGGTGGGTATCATATCCAGTTGGCATGAGAAAAAAACATCGGCTCTTGAAAAAAATATTGGAATAAAAACTCTGAGGTTTAAGTACCACTCCGAATAAAAACGACAAAAATACTTTTTTAGCAGAGTTGCCACATTTTTGAAAATCTTGATAAAAAAATATTGTAATTATATATGTATCTAAAGTATATGTATGTACTAGATTTTAGCCATGTTTTTGGTAATAAAAATATTTTTCGCAGGGTTGCCACTTTTATGCAAATTTAAAGTCTAACTACATGATAAGAAATTAAAAAAGAATGCGGTTGCTGAGCTTATTTGGTATATGGTATATTATTTTAGCGGAGTGTTGCCACCTATTTAAATATGCAGCTTTGTAAAATTTGATAAAAGAACGAATTTTTATTATTAAAATAACAGATTGTATATAACGTATTGCAGTGGTTTCGAAAGATTTAAAACTGAGCTTATTTTCTAAAAATGGTTGCCACATAAATTTTTTTTTTTTTTTTTTGTAATTACATTGATAAAGAAAAAATCAGAAGGAAGGGTTGCCACTTGACTGAGAATTGTCAACATACATATAATATAATCAATAATATCTATCGAATTAAGTGAATTTAAAAGCTGTTTGAAGCAGATATAAATATTGCTCAGCAGCTTAAAGAAGCCAGAAGTAAAAGAGTGTAGCTATATTTTTTAATTTTTTAAGTCGAAAGAATTTTTAAATGAGAGCCAAAGAAAAGAAATATAAAATTGGAATAATATTAGAAGGTGGATTGAATGTATTTTCATAAAGGGTTGCCACCTGTTCTAATTATTTTTTCTATTTGATAATGCAGAAAAGGAATGGGGCTTTCAAAATTTGGGCAATTTCCAGAAGACCACTTTTGAAAATTTTTTGAGCAAGGTTACCACCTAATTGGAAATTGTTAAGATCTGAAAAATGTAATTGAAAATATCTCAAAAACTTTGCATATTTTTATTTATTTTATTGTCTATGACTTAACCAAGTTAAAATTGTTTTCACCTCTCGTAGATCTAAGCATACAACTTCTTGTTTTCGCTGCTAAGAAAGCTCTTCTGGACATATAATTGATGATTTATCGTTAAAATGCAAACGTGCTTCTCAAATCTTTGACATTGCTTCGACGTTGACATTTTAGACGCACATCAATGCACACTATGTCTTTCAACTACTTTGAAATTTACTGTCACAGCATTTTATGCATCACCTGAGCACACTTACGCAAGMCTATAAGTCACGAATAATTTTGAGAAATATGTGCGGCATTAAAATAAAAGTAATAAAGAAAGTTGTAATAAAGCTGACAGAAAAACTCACACGTGCTTGCCACATCCTGAATTTATGAATGGCAGTCATATATTATATGCTTTTCAGTGCGGTGAAGAGGCCACAGACAATTTCTWATATTTCAACAACAGCGAAGCCAATGGAAGGCATAAGAAGTCAACATGAATAAGTTAGCGAAAGCAGAAAGTAACGGGAGGGCATAAAAATGTATTGAAAAATTATGAAAATTTGAAAGAAATAAACACGTTTACAGCTATGTATGTGTGTGCACCCGCCTTACGTGTGTATTGTGTTTGCAACACATATATGCTGTTGTGAACACATCTAGAACGAATGTTCARCAAACCGCAAATTCGTTTTTGTCTTCATTTTCATACATACTATTATTGCAGTACGAATTGTTGTTGTTGTTGTTGCTATGTGGTCTCCAAATAA